GGACCCTGCCCAGTCCAGCTGAGTCGCCGCCCCTGCAGTTGCAGCAGCCGCAGCAGCCGCCGCAGTCGCAGCCTTCGCAGCAGCCGCAGCAGCCGTCGCAGACGCGGCAGACGAGTGTTCTCCCGCCAGGGTGGCCCGGCGCTGGCGGTGGACGGGCGCGTGGTGGTGTGCCGCGAGGTGGCTCTTCCGGCGGGCGTTGTCAGTACCAGATCCAGACCGGTCCTCGCCGCGGTTTCGTTTGCGGTAAGATCGGGCACTCCACTCCCCGCTGCTTTCGTCGCCTGGACGACCTCTTTCGTCAGCGTTTCGGCCCGTCGCCAGACCTCCCGGACTGGCACAGTTTGCTTAGTCGTCAGATTCAGATCTTTGATATGGACATGGATGCCATTGTTTCTGCTCTGCATGTGATGTATGCTGATGACTCTAGTGTGCTTCCGACTTATTACTCACTGTTGCCTAGTGTAGGTGTGCCTAGCTTAGCCCCCCCTGCTGCGTCAGGCGTAGGATCCCCTGCTTTGTGTAGTCTTGGTGCTTCTGCCGTCTTTCCGTCACCAGACCCCTCGGCTTCGCTTTCCTTCACCTTGGACTCTGGCGCCTCTCGGTGTTTCTTCCGCGACTCCACCACCCTGACGCCGCTTCCTGTTCCTGCTGCCGTTTCTCTTGCTGACCCCTTCGGCGGTCCGGTAGTCGCCCGCAGTTCCACCACCCTTCCCTGTCCGGCGGTTCCTTCGGGCTCTCTTACAGGTCTGCATATCCCCTCGTTCTCCAGGAACCTAGTTGGTGTCGGCTGCCTCCAGGACCTTGGCGTCACCACTACGTTCCCTGGTCACGAGCGGTATGCTGTCTGTACCGAGGCCGCCACTGGTGCCCCCCTGTCCACGTTCCCCCGGGACCCGGTGTCCGGCCTGTTCACTCTGGACACCGTGCCCCCCCCGGCTGGAGCGCCCCCTCAGGTGGCTGTGTCTACCCAGGTTGCTGCTGCCTGCTCCTGTCGCTCCCTCACTCACCCGACCCTCCTGTGGCACCACCGCCTAGGTCACCCTGCGCTCCCGCGTCTGCGTCACATGTCCCAGCACGGTCTTGTCCTTGGTCTCCCAGGTTCACTCCCCGCGTTTCCCTCCTCCCCAGCTCCACCTTGCACGCCTTGTGTCGAGGGTCGGCTTCGCCGTGCCCCTCACTCCTCCTCGTTCCCCCCTACCGTCGCGCCGCTGCAGACCCTGCACCTGGACGTCTGGGGCCCCGCCCCCGTCCCTGGGCCGCGTCGCGAGCGCTACTTCCTTGTGCTTGTCGACGACTTCACTCGTTACACCACAGTCTTTCCCCTGGAGCGCAAGGCCGACGTGCCTGGCGCCCTCATCCCCTGGCTTGTCTCTGCGCGTGTCCACCGCGGTCTCCCTGTCTTGCGTCTTCACTCAGACCGTGGTGGCGAGTTTGCCTCAGGTGTCCTTGGTCGCTTTTGTCGTGCGGAGGGCATCACCCAGACGTTCACCCTACCGGACTCCCCACAGCAGAATGGGGTCGCTGAGCGACGCATCGGCTTGGTCATGGAGGTCGCTCGCACCTCCATGGTCCATGCCGGTGCACCCCATTTTCTGTGGCCGTTCGCTGTGCGCTACGCTTCTCACCAGCTTAACCTGTGGCCGCACCCTCAGCAGCCGCAGGTTTCGCCGACCCGTCTGTGGACTGGGTCTCCTGGTGACGCGTCTGCGTTCCACGTCTGGGGCTGCCTTGCTCACGTCCGTGCCTCCGGCACGGACAAGCTCACTGCCCGCATCCTTCCCTGCGTCTTCCTCGGTTTTCCCCTTGACGCGTCCGACTGGCACTTTTACCACCCGCCGTCTCACCGCTTCTTTCACTCTCGTGACGTCACCTTTGACGAGTCCGTCTCCTACTACCGCCGCTTCCCCCACCATGGTCCCCCGGTTACTCCCCCCCTGTTCCTGGTCACCCCTTCCCCGGTAGTCCCTGCCCCTCCTCCTCCTCCTCCCCGTCCCGCCCCCTCTGGTGTCTCCCATGTCACCCCCCTTCCGTCCGTGGACCCGGTTGAGGAGTCTTCTGACTCTGGTGGCCCTCCGGTGCAGTCCTCGCCGGCCGCCCCTCCCCAGGTGCCCCCTCCCCAGTCCCCTCCTCCGCCGTCCCTGCCGCCACTGCAGCCGTCGCCGTCGCCGCCGCTGCCGCAGTCGCAGCCCCCGTTCGCTGACTCTGGGGGTGCTCGTCCCGGTCGCCCTGAGGGTGGTCCCTCTGGGGGTGCGGGTGTGGAGCGTGCCGGTGGTAGCCTAGGAGCAGCTTGCGGTCCCGGTGTCGCCGTTGTGCCGCCGCAGCAGCAGTCCCCGCCGCTGTCTGCCCTTCGCCTGCTCGGCCTTCCGTCCCCCGACCCTGCGTCGGTTCCTCCCCGACCGGCTCCTCCTCTTCCTGTCTACGGCCCTGTTTTCCCTCCGCCGGACTCGTCCCCGGCCCGTCTCCCCCCTCGTTCACCTCCTGTGTCCCCTCCCCTGTCTCCTGACCCGACTCCTCCATCGCACGTCTGGTCTCACCGTCCCTCCCGTGCTCGTCCTGCCTCGCCTGTCTTGCGCTCCCACCCTATGTTGCTTCGTTCACACGCGTCTCGTCCTCCCCTTCTGCCGTCGCCTCCTCCGTCCTCCCTTGTTGTTGCGCCCCCCCCACTGTCCGACTACCTTCGTGCCGCTCGTCCCCTCGTTCCTCGGGTCCTTGCCTCTCTCGTTACCGGCCCGTCTGTTCCAGTCTCGTGCCTTGACGCTCTTGTCGCTGCTGTCGCTGACTTCGCCTCTACCCGCCGCCTTGACTACGCCACCGCTCTGGTCTCTGACCCTGGCTGTCCTCCGTCTGTCGGGGGTGCTCCTGCCCTTGGCAGTGACGTCCTGGAGGACCGCCAGTTCGAGCTTGCTTTCCTGTCCGAGGCTGCTCCCCATCTCTGTTCCATGCTGCTAGTCCCTGAGGGTGACCCAGACGCTTTCGACATCCCGACCCCTCGCACTTACGCTGAGGCGACTTCGGGACCCTGGGCCTCGCAGTGGATAGCTGCCATGGAGCAGGAGATGGCATCTTGGAGATCCACCGGCACCTTCGTCGACGCAGTTCCCCCACCTGGGGTGAACGTAGTCGATGGCCGCTGGCTCTTCAAGGTGAAGCGCCCTCCTTGAGAGCCGCCTGTCTTCAAGGCGCGCTATGTGGCTAGAGGCTTCAGTCAGCGCGAGGGGGTGGACTTCTTCCAGACTTTCGCTCCGACCCCGAAGATGACTACTCTTCGGGTTCTGTTACACCTAGCTGCTCAGCGTGACTACGAGCTTCACTCTCTCGACTTCTCCACTGCCTTCCTTCAGGGCAGCCTACACGAGCAGGTCTACCTGCGCCGCCCTCCGGGCTTTACTGGCACCTTCCCTCCTGGGACCCAGTGGCTCCTGCGGCGCCCCGTCTACGGCCTGCGCCAGGCTCCCCGTGAGTGGCACGACACTCTGCGTGCTACGCTTGCTGACCTGCAGTTCTTTCCATCTTCTGCAGACCCTTCACTCTTCGTTCGTGCTGGCCAGACTCCGTTCTACATCCTCGTCTACGTCGACGACCTGGTCTTTGCCACAGCAGACAGGGACGCGCTGGCCTCCGTGAAGGCAGAGCTGCTGAAGAGACACACCTGCACTGACCTTGGAGAACTGCGCCGTTACCTTGGCTTGCAGATCTCCAGGGACAGAGCTGCGCGCACCATCACCCTGACTCAGTCACACTTGGTGCGCCAGGTCCTTCAGAGGTTCAGCCTTCAGTTCTCCTCTGCACAGCCCACCCCTCTGCCTGTAGACCACAGGCTCTCCGCTCCAGTGCCTGAGGAGTTGGTAGAGCCCAGCGGCCCCTACGCAGAGCTGGTGGGTTGCCTCATGTACCTGATGACTTGCACTCGCCCAGATCTCGCATACCCTCTCAGCATCCTGGCTCGCTTTGTGGCAACAGGCAGACACCGACCGCAGCACTGGTCTGCCGCTAAGAGGGTTCTGCGTTATCTTGCTAGTACATCGGGCATGGGGTTAGTGCTAGGAGGACGCAGGCCAGCGGTCCTTACTGGGCACACAGACGCTTCGTGGGCAGACGACGCTGAGACACTCCGGTCTACCCAGGGCTACTGCTTCAGCCTTGGCTCAGGTGCCGTCTCGTGGAGAGCTACTCGCTCCTCGTCTGTTGCACAGTCCAGCTGTGAGGCTGAGATCTACGCCGGTGCCATGGCGGCACAGGAGCTCCGCTGGCTGACCTTCTTGCTCACTGACTTAGGTGAGCGGCCTAGCTCTGCCCCGGTCCTGTTCGCTGACAACAGGGCCATGATCCTCCTGTGTCAGGAGCCTCGACTCGAGGGCAGAGCGAAGCACATTCAGCTGCGGTACTTCCTCCTGCGTGAGCTACAGCAGCGACGTCAGGCTCGCGTAGTACACTTGGCCTCAGGTGCCAACACGGCTGATATCTTTACGAAGGCGCTTGCGCCTAAAGATCATCAGCAGCACTGTGTACAGCTTGGTCTAGTTCCTGTAGCCTCTCACTTGCTAGGACCTTGACTTTGTACTGTCCTTTATATGTATACTCAGACTGGACTTGTGTCCTCTCCCTGTGGCTGGACTAGTAGTGCCGCCCTGCTCTTTGCTTGCCTTGTCTGTACTCCTTCTGACTGGTCGCTCAGACCCTTGTCTCAGAGGTTGGACTAGTAGTGCCGCCCTGAGCTGTTTGTTTAGGACTTTCCCCTATGCAGTCTAGGGGGTGTGTCAAACATGTCTATTTGTTATGTCTGTATAGACTGTATAGGGTAGCCTCTTAGAGGGTACAACACTTAGCTATATTGTGTGTACTCTCCCTCTTTCACTATTATTCAATTTTCTGATACTGACAGCATCCTCTCTCACACTGCACGCGCAGTGCCAATGTGGCATGCAGATGGGCAATATCGTCCGGTATGCTATGAAATGACCAAAAGTGGGTATCTGACTCAAATGAAAGTGGTGAAACATGCACACTTGAATTCCAATAAAAAAATGCATATGCACATTCCATAACTCCTGGGTGGTTTATTTATTTTGCCTTTAATTACACCCAGCCCAAAATTTCGATGCATTTTTATTAACACCATAGGGTGTTTTATACGAGGGATTACGGTAATTCTAGACTCGGGCTCTAACACTCCTCCCCCTCCCCCCCCTCCTCTCCCTCCGCTTCCTCCCCTCGCCCTCCCCCCCTCAGCGTGCTGAGGGTCCTTGCTGCAGCCCCACATAGCTGCTACCCCCAGCAACCATCGAGTCCTTGTTGCGCTCCATGATCTCGCTGTTGGCGCACAGAGACTCAATCTCCGATCGCAGTGTCATCCCTCCAGACGACCGCCCACCCCCCATCACCACATCATAATCCACATTCGAGCCCTTTCGGCCCAGCCTCGCCAGCCCGGGCCTCTCCCGCCCCTCTCCTTCCCCCTCCCCGCCTCCTCCTCCCTCCGCCCCCTCCTGGCCCTCCCTCGCGCAGTACTCCCGCACCATGGCGGCCAATCGCAGCACGACATCTGTCATGTCGGGGCGGTGGGCGGCACGGCGCTTAATGCAGTCGAGGGCGATGTCAGCCAGCTCCAGGACAGCATCCTCTGACGCTGTGAGCGTCTTGTCTTTCAGCTCCTCGATCTGGTAGTCGTGCAGCTTCATGGACGCCTGGGGTGTGGGGGTGGGGGAGGAAGGAGAGACCCGGGAGAAGGGATGGGGGGGAGTTTGAGGGACGAGGATAGTGTGTGCACCTCGTCGATCTGGTAGACTTGTGGCTCCTTGGACACCTGGGGGAAGGGGATGGGGTTGAAAAGGAAGAGGGAGGCGAGAGGGGGGATGTTGGGAATGGGCACAGGGAGGTCAAACAAGTGGGGATCTTGAGGTGTCTGAAAGTACGAGGAAAGGTGTATCAACGTGAGAGAGTGGAAGAGGGGAGATGGAGCAAGCGAGAGAGCGTACCCATTTTCCAATGTGGCAGGTCCTGTCGATGGTGACTGGCTGGCCTGTGAGAATCTCAAGAAGAACCACTCCAAAACTGGGGCAGACGGGAGAGCAGGGAGATGGTTGGAAGGGGGGAAGGCCAAAGGGAGGACCTTGTTGTGGTGGAGCGAGGGGAGAGGAGTGAGGCGAGGGAAGGAAGATGGTGTGGATGGGTGGGGTACAGCTTTCTGGATCTACCCCAGAGTGCCGGAAGCGCGTGGAAGTGTGCCTGATGAAAGCGAGCTTCGGAAGTGTAACAGAACAAAGTACCTTGTGGATGGATGTGCTATGCTACCATAAAACCCCTAATATACCTGCAAAGCTGATCTGCAGTATCCACACAGACACCACGCACGCACGCATACACGACATGCGGGGCTTAGGTGAGCAGTCCACCCACCTGTACACGTCGCTCTTGGTGGTGACCATGGCGGTGCGGTTGTAGTCGGGGTCCACATAGCCCGGCGTGCCCGCCACCTTGGTGGCCACGTTGCTGCCATCCGCCTCGTACTTGAGCTGCTTCAGCAGCCCAAAGTCACCGATCTTTGCCTGGTGTGGTGTGGTGTGGTGTGGTGTATACTTTTTCGGAATGCCTCATGCTCAACTGGCCATACACCATGCTCCATGCTCCATGCTCCATGCACCATGCGTCATGCACCATGCACAATGCCCCATGCCCCATGCCCCATGCCCCATGCCCCATACACCATGCTCCATGCACCATGCTCCATGCACCATGCACACAATACAGCAAGCAGCAAGCACACCACGTGTCCCAGCCCCAGCAGGTACCTCCATGGTGTCAGTGACAAGGATGTTGGAGGGCTTGATGTCCCGGTGGATGATGGGTGTCTCAAAGCTGTGCAGGTACGCCAACCCCTCTGCTGCTCCCAGTGCTATCTTCAGACGGTCCTCCAGACTCAACGGCTCTGAGGCAGAGGTAAATGGTGCAGCACACACGGCACACAGCACACGGCACACGGCACACGGCATGGGAGAGCATGGAAATGAGGGATGGGGGAACGGGCAGGGGAGGAGAGGGGAAGGGAAGGGGGAGGATGGTGGGCGGGAAGCTCAGCAGGGCGCTGTAGAGGATAAGTGATAGAATGAACTGGCGAAAAGTAAGGGCGCGGTTGGGGGAGGAAGAGGCGGGGGAACAAAAGTGCACCAGTAGTTTAAATGCACTACATGACGAAGTGCTCTAGTTCGTTTGGAGGACGTACGTTTGGGCGAGCGGATGTGGTGGTCGAGGTCGCGGTTGGGCACATACTCGTAGACGAGCACCTGCTCCTGCTTGGCCGTTTCCACGTCCATGTGCAGACAGAAGCCCAGCAGCCGCACCAGGTTCTTGTGGTGCAGCGTCGCCATGGCGCGCACCTGGGGGGAGTCGAACACACGCACGCGCACGAAGGTCGCATATATAGTTCGGATTCAGTGCACATGAGGTGCGGTTTATAATACACACATGGAGCACATTTTGAGCAGACGTGAAGCAGACATGATCGGGGTCACAGTAGATGCCATGGCATGACCATGTGGGGTGCATGCACGCGATGAGGATGGGAGGAGGGACTACCGAAGAGGGCAAAAGACTTAAAAGGGGCAGGGACGGCATAGGCGAAAACGCGCACAGCACACCATGTCATCACTCCCGCCCGATGCACTTCACTTGCATTACTGCCTGACGGCAGCTGGCCGTGTAGCCATATCTCCGCCGCTCAACATCTGCTCTCTGAAACAAAAAACCTCTAGGCTCTATCTAGCCACCGGCGACGACGCCACACCTCTGTCTCAAAGTCATTGGACATGAGCTTGACGCGCTTCACTGCCATGACGTGCCCCTGCGCGTTCACCCCGCGGTACACAGTGGCAAAGCCGCCCTCGCCCAGGATGTTCTGGGCGTCCCAGTTGTTGGTGAGCGCGCGCACCTCCTCTATGCTGTACTCCTTGCACACGTCCAGGTCCGTCCACGTGCCTGGGGGCGGGGGGTGGAGGTGAGGTGACGAGCAGAGGGGAATGGGAGGACGAGCCAAGATTGAAGGTACGTTGGTAGGAAAATGGAAGATAGATAGTCGACAGGTGACAACAGCAGCAGCAGCAGCAGCAACAACAACAAACGTACGTCTCTTTTTCTGCTTCCTGAGAATGAGCACCGCAGCAACAGCAGCAGCAACAATGGCGAGAGCAACACAGCAGCCAACCACAATGGCAATGATGGCCCCTGTGGACAGGGACGACTGCACCACTGGCGCTGGCGGCACCACTGTTCACAGAGAGAGGGTGGGGAGAGGGTAGGCATGGGGGGTTTGGTTAGACCTAAGGATGAGGAGGAAAAGACAATCACAGCTGAACTGAGCATTACTGATCTCAGCAGAATACAGACGTTTCACTAAGAAAGAAAGCAGGGAAATCGAGGGTGAGGGGGCAAGCGAGGGTGAGGGTTATTTTCATACCAGGAGGTGTGAGGGAGCAGGTGGGGGTGCCGTTGTCCAGCCATAGCAGGTAATATCCATCATCGCACAAGCACGTGAATGCACTTCCAGCGACCACCGATGCGTTTCCACCAGCAGCAGCAGCCGACGTGTCACTGGAACCGTTAGCAGCTGCAGCAGCAGCAGCAGCGGCGGCAGGCACACACATCCCGTGGCCAGCGCAGGGCAGGGAGTTGGCAGTAAGGCCGCAGTACGTGAGGCATTCCTGCGCGCTCCTCTGCGTCTCGTTGGCCACACAACTGTCTGCTGCCACAGTCATGTCGAAGCAGTTGTCGCGCAGGCTCGCCCGCCCCTTTTGGTATGCCCCCTGTCCACCACTGGACATGTAGTCGCGGCCTGTAACCTGGAAGTCATAGAAACTCGCATTGTACTCTACCTGGGAGGACGAAAAAGAAGGGCGGAGAAGGCGGGTATGTGAGATCATATAATGCTCGGTTTATTTTGTAGTGCGTATCTCGGAAAAAGCCCTATTTAGGGTTGATCCAAAATTTGAATGTTAGTTGTTCACAATTTGGGCATTTGCCAACCCAACTAGAGTAGGCTGTTAGCCAACCAGTTGGCCATAAACGGGATGGCCGTAAACGGGATGGCCGTAAACGGGATGGCCGTAAACGGATTGGCCGTAAATGGGTTGGCCGTAAACGAGTTGACCGTAAACGGGTTGGCCGTAAACGGGTTGGCCGTAAACTGGTTGGCCGTAAACGAGTTGGCCGTAAACGAGTTGGCCGTAAACGGTCATCACAGAAAGAGTTGTGAAGTGGAGAGTGAAGTAGAGCAGGTACAGCTGTAAACTACGCACCTGGTCGGGGCAGTAGAGGGTGCCATTGGCAAAGAGAGTGGGATCCCCATAGAAGAAGTTGTGGGCGACGTTGAGTGTGCTGTAGGCCGGGTTCATGCCCTTCATGTTGCGGTTCATGGGCCCCGTCAGCGAGTTGTTGCTCAGGTCGCTGGGGGGGTCGGGGCCGTGGGTGGTTTGGGTTGGGATGGGGTGGCTTTGGAAATGTTGAGTGGGAAATGCATGAGGCGGGTTGTAGTTGAGGAAGGGTTAGCTGGGGCGTGCCGCATGGGAGTGATTCCAAGGCACAGAAATCGCTCATGTGAGGTGGGTGGTGAGGTGTGGTGTAGCGTATGCTATGTTATTTGGCAGTGGGGGGTTGTGCAGGGAGATGGTTACTTACAGGTCCCTAAGGCTGGCGAAGTTGACAAGGCACGAAGGCATGGTTCCGTAGAAGAGGTTGTTCCTCAACACCCTGAGTAAGAACACACACCATTAGCGAACACATTGCATAGCACACACAAGAGAGGGGATGTACACCAATGCACAGGTCACATGAGGGTATGAACGAACACACCCATACACGCCCTTGCAGGAAAACAGACTCCATGCAGCTTGAGGGAAATATGACTCCATGCAGCTCAATGGTGGCTACCTTGCTTGTTATCCCCCAAAAAAAGGGAATTTCACAAAACAGAGTGAAGAGGGATGAGGAGCTGGGCACTGATTGAGGGGGGTGAAAGCACGGGAGGCGGAGGAATGGGAGGTATAAATACAGGCTGTTCATGCGAGTGAGGTTGCAGAGGGAGGAGGGGATGGTGCCTGTGAGGTTGTTGCCGAACAGCCACCTGCGAGAGGAGAAGAGCACATACGAACGGAGTAGAGGGGGGGAATGAGAAACATCGGAGGGTATGGAAGTACAAGGGGTTGGGTTGGCAGGAAGAAGGGCTGGGTTGGGAGCACTAGAAAACGGCAGATGATTGAAATCGGCACGCATTGTCGATCGGTGGGTGGTTTAGGTTGGGCCTAGGGACGGTTGGACTAAGCATGGGGTGGCATACATACAGGTTTCTCCAGACCCCAGTGATGCCATATTTGAGTCTATTTTTTAGGCGCTTCAAAAACGGAACTTAGCGTCACGGGTTGAGCAAACTACCCGCCCGGGTCGGGTACCCGGTACCCGGACCCGCTTTTAGGGCGGGTCGGGTATCGGAAATCCTGAAAATTACCCGCCGGGTCGGGTCCGGGTTACCCGGGCCGGGTATCAATACCCGCTACCCGGAATGCTACCCGACGTGTCGGGTAACGGGTACCCGACCCGGTCGGGTAAAAAATTACCCGAGGTCGGGTATTCCACCTAGACATGGGCGTAAGTCGCGCTGTGTTTTAGGTTTTGCGGCAAAACAGTTTTGGAGGTGAGGGGGGACGAGTGGAGCCCTACCTAGCCTAGCCCTACCTAGCCTAGCCCAACTTTAGGATGTCCACTAGTAGGTGGCGGGTAAAATTACCCGCTTTTCAGGGGGTCCGGGTCGGGTATACCCGGACCCGCCAGGCGGGAATTATAATACCCGCCTAAAAAAACCGGGTCCGGGTAAGGGTCCTGGGCATATTACCCGACCCGGACCCGACCCGAAATTACCCGACCCGAGGTCGGGTATGGCAAAACCGGGTCGGGTCGGGTAATTACCCGGTTTTGCTCATGCCTAGCGTGGCGTGGCATGGCATACAGTGTCTCGAGCGATGTCAGGTTGGCGAGGGTATCAGCGACTGGCCCAATAATGGCGTTGTTGCCCAGTGACCTGATGCCAGGGTGCACAGGAGATGAGGGGCGCACAAACACAGACAAAAGGCTTGGCGAACAGAACGACAGATGGAATAGCACACCACCAGGGGCAACGGGCATGCACATAGGTGAGGAGGAAGAGGCTTGAGTGAAGCGAGAAACGCCGGGGGTACACACAGGGCGCTGAGCTGGTAAGCCCGGAACTGGTCACAGGCAGTTGTTTTCTGAAAAATTCAAGCCAAAGGAGGAACACCAAGTGAGGAACGGTGGGGGTGTGCAACACACAGGGCACTGAGTTGCGTGAGCGCAGAGATATTCACAGGCAACGACCCCGTGAGCCTGTTGCTGTCCAGAGACCTGGGATTGGGGAGGGGGGTTTGGGGGGAAGGGGGTGGACAGGGGGATTATGGAGGGAGAATGGAGGAGGAGGGAGGGGGGGAAGAGGGAGAGGGTGGTGGGCACGATTTTCAGATGGAGGATGGCGAGAAGAGGTGAGATGGAGCTGGAAGGAGTAAGATGTGGCGAAAAAATAGTTGGTACAGCGAGAGGTGGCGACGAAATAGAGGGAAAGCTGTGTGAACCGGGAATTAATGTGAAGGCAGCTAAGGGGAATGGAGGCAAGAAGGAGAGGAAAAATTAGATGTGGCCAGGGGGTGAAGAGAGAGGCTGAAGTGAGGGTTAAGAAAGGGTTGAGAGGGGTTGAGAGAGGGTGAGGAAAGGGTTACAGCAGCTGCAGCGACGTGAGATTGCCGATGGACTCCGGGATAGGGCCTGTGAGGTTGTTGCTGCCGAGGTAGCTGGTGGGAAGATGAAAAGGAGGGGACAGCAACAATGGATAAAGCCTTGGCTCACTATGGTTGTGGGCGTGGGGGTATTGTGAGATGCTGCTGATGCTGCTTCCGGCAGATACAGGAAAATAGGCAGCGGATGCAGGGAAGTATGCAGCAGACTGGATGAGTTTGGAAGAGATGAAAGGAACATTGCAACCAGCAGCAGCAGCAGCAGCAGCAGCACATACAGTATGCCCAAGCTAGTGGTGTTCCAGGCTGTGAAGTTGGGCAGAGACCCTGTGAACTGGTTGTACCGGAGGTCCCTGCACACACCCACCAGCGCACACAGCAACAAGCGCACAGAAGAGCTTAAGAAGATCATAGCTTGCACACAAGCTAAGGCAGCGGCAGCAGCGGCGGCAGTGGCAGCTGCAGCAGCGGCGGTGGTGGCGGCAGCAGCAGCTGCGGCAGCAACGGCGGCAGCGGCTGCAGCGGCGGCTGCAGCGGCAGAAGCAGCTGACATGTACCTCCCCTACACTGATTGCTTCTACTACAGCGGGGTTTCTCCCTCAACCGTGTTCCCAGGCGGGCATGCGCGCGCGAGAGTAGAGAGAGAGAGCACTCACAGCCGGTAGAGCGTGGGCCAGTTGCGGATCTCCTGCGGTATGGGGCCGCTCAGCCTGTTGCCCGCAAGCATTCTGCCGCATGCAGCACGTGGGCGGGGACGGGCGGGGTGCAGGGAAGTGGAGGAGGGAGGGAGATGGAGATAAGGGGAGGTGGCGAGACAGTGGTGGTGGATGAAAGGTGGTGAGGGGAGTGAGGCGGAAGGGGATGCAGCATGGAGGAAGAAACCAAAACGGCTTAGGAAATCACCACGGAGGGTAGCAGGGGGGGGAACGGGGAAGGGGAGGGGGAAGGGGAGGGGGAAGGGGAGGGGGAAGAGGGAGAGGGGCACGGTAATCTGTAATCGTTAGGCAAGTGTGTTGCTAGCCGTGTGCGTGCGTAGAAGGGTACGGCAAATGGTGCGAGGACACAGGGCGGCATTGAAGGGGGAGAGGAGATCAGGCAGAGCTGGCAGGTGTAGGCGGGTGGGGGGGAGGGCGGGTGGGTGGTTACAGTTGGCCAAGCGAAGAGATGCGGTGCAGTGCAGGAGGAATGATGCCAGTGAAGCGGTTGAAGTTGAGAGTGCTGCGGGCACAGACGAGGCGAGCGGATGGGTCGGGGAAAAACGGAGAATGATTTGTGAATGGATGGGGTGCCTTGAGGCACCCTGAACAGGGATCAACATGTGGTATGGTCTACGGCGTATGGCGCATGGGGCCATGGCATGAAGCATGGGGCCATGGCATAGCAAGCACTCACAGCCCTTGGAGGAAGGAGAGGCGACTGAGAGCAGCAGGAATGGGGCCGCTGAACTGATTGTATCCTAGGTCGCTGCGGGGTGCAGGGGTGGTAGGATGTGTAGGGATGTGCAGGGATGTGCAGGGATGTGGAAGGACGTAGAGGAAAGCAGGAGGACGAAGCATAGCAGGATACGGAATACATGCATGGTGCTTCCAGGGGTGGACGAGATGCAGATGCCAAGAGTTCAAGGAGCCACATAACGCAACAAGCACATGCGCATGAGTTCCCATGAGAGGCTGGGATGGGACGCACATGACACTGAGGCTGGGGATTTGCAGGGCCGCCGCAGGGAACGTTCCTGTGAAGTTGTTGAAGGCAAGAGCTCTGCAGGGGAGGCGCCCGTCAGAGTAAGAACGCAGCACAGCAACAGCTTGTGTGTGTGTGTGTGTGTGCGAAGTGGGGGTGGGGGGAGGGGTGTGGGTGTGATACGTGTGCACGTGTGCGTGCATGCGTGCTTGCGTGCATGCGTCTCTGTCTGTGTGTGTGCGTGCGAGCATGGGTGCATGCATGTGTGTGTGTGTGGCGGGCGGGGAGGGGGGGGTGCACGCGCGCACACACACACACACACGTGTATGCACCTTGTGGATGCCATGCCCAGGAGATGCATGCACACGCATGGACCCTGGATGCAGGGTTTCGGGTTTAGGTTCTAGATCAACATGGTTCACGGTTCGAAAAGAAGTACTGGGGCTCAAATGAGGGGAGGTACTTGCAAAAGCGGAGACAGTGAATGACAGGCATGCACCAGGACACAGCAAGGCATGGTGCAGCAAATCATGGCAGGAAGCAGCATGCAGCATCCAGCATGCAGCATGAAACATGGTACGCACAGCAAGTTTAGGTTGGAGAGACGGGAGAGCGCAAGAGGAACCGGGCCGGAGAACTGGTTGTGCATCAGTTCCCTAAGAGACACGACGAGACGAGACAAGGGCCAGCAAATGGGCGCGAGACAAGAGAAGCATGCATTAGAGAGCACACAGACAGTTGACCTCAAACGGCAAGCCAAGTTGTGGAATATAATTATACGGACGGCTGCTGCTGAGGTGGGCATTGCTGCATGAGGAGAGCATTAGCTGCAGCTGGTTCGGCAGCGCATCCCTGTGAGGACGTGGCAATGAGACTGATAACTGGAGATGTGATGGCGCAGTGCGGAGGTGGGATCGGACAACCAAGGGCATGCAAACAGATGCCTTTTCCCATGACTGAGGATGAGCGGGTAGGTGGAAGCAGCTCTTCGGACATATCTCCAGCGAGAAAGCAGTAAATATGTCCAAAGACTGCAAACAGATGCCTTTTTCCCATGACTGAGGATGATGAGTGGGTGGGTGGAGCCGAGCGGGCGTACAGACTAGTGAGCCATGTCATTGGGAAGAGACTGGAGAGACCCCCAGTGAGCTGATTCCCCCCCAGATTCCTGAGGTTGCAAGAGAAAGAAAAGAGGGGTGGAGCGGTGACTTGAGGAGAAATGGAGGGAGAGAGGGATGCGTGGAGAGAGCGAGGGGAGAGATAGAAAGTAGGAGCGGGGTCGAGTTGCAAGGGAGGAGGACGAGGAGGAGGAAAACGGCAGGAGGAATGAGCTGGCCAACAGATGATGGTGGGTGGGATGAGGGATAGGAAAGGGAGGACTAGTGAAGAATCAGGGAGGGAAGAAGTGCTGACAGGTATTGGATGGAGGAGAGCCGAGAGATGTAAGTAGGGATGTTCCCAGAGAAACGGTTGGACTCGATAGACCTGCTCCACACACCACGCACCATGCACCGCGCACCATGTGGCATGCACCATGCACCATCCACCATGCATCGTGCACATCCCATGATCAGGTAGTGAGCAGGCAAGGGAAAAGGATGGTACAAGCATGCTGAATGAAAGGACTGGAACCAGCCAGGAGTATGGGAAGTAGGGAACGGTTCAGAGCATTATGGCACACAGTCTGGCAGTATGTTCTGTGGCGCTTTAAGAATAGAAGTCTGGCAGCAGCTGTGGGGTCAAGACTCAAGATCCAAGAAGCATTGTGGGTGCGACATGTCAAGACATGCACGCTGTCGCAAGAGCAGATGATGAGAGTCACTCATTGAGAGCTCGCAGCATGGTAATGGTGACGTGGTGCAAAAGTGGAGAAAATCCAACCAACGAGGAACAGAGAGCAGCGGGAAGAAAAGGAAGGGAGGGCTGGAGGAATGGAAAGTAGTGAGGGGGACGTGGGAAGGGGAAAGGTGGGTTGAGGGGGAGGAGGAAGGGGAGAGGGGAAGATTGAGGAGAGGAGTTTGAGGAAAGGGTGGATGGAATGCTCAAGGTGCAATGTACAATGCGGTGAGACGGGGAAGACCAACGAGCACGGATGGTATCGGGCCGTCGAACTGGTTGAGTGCGAGAGCCCTGCCAACATGAGAGAGCAGGAAACGCATCCCCCCCCCCCTTTCCAAACACAGAAATACATGCACAAGCACACACAAACACACACATGCACACGCACACACAAATACACACATGCACACGCACACACAAATACACACATGCACACATGCACACGCACACACAAACACACACACCCATCCGTACACCAATGCTCAGAGAGACACACAGAGACGAACAGATCAACCACAGCTGTAGACGAACAGATCAACCACAGCTGTAGACGAACAGATCAGCCACAGCTCTAGACGAACAGATCAACCACAGCTGTAGACGAACAGATCAACCACAGCTGTAGACGAACAGATCAACCAGAGCTCTAGACGAACAGATCAACCACAGCTGTAGACGAACAGATCAACCACAGCTGTACAGACAAAAAATGGAAGCCTTCACAGCCATCTGGTCTGTAGAGCTGCTGCCACTAACCACCCCTATGCAAAGGAGGTCTGGGAAGCAGGGGGTGATGCTGGGACTTGGAATGCACGGGGTGAAGGGCGCGCTGAGCTGAGCAGACTCACACGGATTCGAGGTTGGTACTGAGCGCCTGGATTAGCTGGCCAGACATTTGGTTGGCGTCCAGCGCCCTGTGAGGAAGAGGGTAGAGGAGAGGGCCAGTTGACCCCTCGAGAAGTTGCTGCTCTGGCTGGTTCTTAGGCAAGTGCGTGAGCATTTGACTCGCACGGTGCTTAGGCTATTGATTCTGCAAAGTCATTGCACTTTTGAGGCGCCTCAGGAATCGGCTTCTGGTTATGCAGCTATGCTTAGGCATTGCTTAGGCTTTGCTTAGGCATTGCTTAGGCTGGTTGAGCAAGGCGAGAGGAGCAAAGGTACGAGAGTCGGTAGAGATGCATCAGTGCAAGGCGAATGGGTGGAGAGGGTTGGAGAGGGGTGATGGATCACACAGGGAGCGGAGGTTGGTGAGGTTGGAGAAGGAGAGCGGAATGGATCCGCTGATGTTGTTGCTGCTCAAAGTGCTGCAGGCGGTGGACCAGATGTTGGTTGGAGTATAGGGGCAGGCAGCGAGGGGAGCAAGGTAAGGTACATAAGGCAGGCATGGAGATTTTTTTTTACAGGCAAGGATAGCAGGCAGGAGGAGAGAGAGGGTGGAGAAGCAACTGAGAGAGGGAAGGGACAGCATGGAGGCAGGAGGGAGGGAGAGAGCAAAGAATTACAGCATCACACACACTTGAGATGCTAAATAGAGAGGGGCCGTGGAGATCAAACTCGGTCGTGGGAGGGAACGAAGAGATGTGAGGAAAGAAAGCGCGAGGCAAAGGATAAGAAAAGAAGATGCAGAACCAAGGGGAAAAAGAGAGCGAGGGGCGTGAGAGTGAGGGGCGTGAGAATGCGGGGTGCGTGAGTGAGGGGTGTGAGTAGGAGGTGGTAGCGTACAGGCTTGTGAGGTTAACGAGGGACGCCCACGAGTCTGGCAGCACTCCAAGCAGCCCGTTCATCGCCGCGTCACTGCCACGGCGCAGGGGGCACACAGGGGGCACACACGGCCACCAGAGAGCAGCGGTTCGTTCGGATTAGTGGGCCGAGGAGGGAAAGGAGGGGGACGAAATGGGGGGAAAGGAGGAATGAGCGCTGAAGGGGGACAGATGCATGGAGATACGTGGGACTCAGCAACGAGAGGTGATCCTAGCAAGATTTTTTAAAAGAACGTTATAAGAGAGGTGGGACGCAGGGGCAGTGCGCTTGCAAGGACTGCAGGGCAGGCTGGTGAGCTTGGAGAGGTTAAGTAGTTAAGTGTTGAGACGTCTGAAAACTAAACTACCTAACCGTGGGCGGGGCAGTGCGCTCGCAAGGACTGCAGGCTGGCGAGCTAGGAGAGGGGAGGAAGGAGAGGGAGGTGAGAACCGAGAGGGAGGGAGAGACGGAAGGAGGACAAGAGGGGCAACACGGTGGTGAGCTTACAAGGACTCCAGGCTGGCGAGCTTGGAGAGGTCCTGTGGCACAATGGCAGTGCGGAAGAAAGGGCGGTCGTCCGGGATCAGCCCGTGCAGGTTGCTGGGGGGACCACGACCAGGGAGGGGAGAGGGGGGGACGGGCAAGGGGTAGGCCCAGGGGCAAGAAGATGGAGGAAGGAGTCTCAAATCACGAAGAAAGTGCAGTCGTCCATTCTTTAGGCGCCTCAAAAATAGACGCCTCAAGAAAGGGCGGTCGTCTGGGATCAGCCCGTGCAGATTGCTGGGGGGACAGACCAAGAGGGGGAGAGATGGCAAGTAAGGGGTTGTGTATCGAGGAGTCTCAAAACACAAAGAAAGGGCGGTCGTTTGGGACCAGCCCATGCACGTTGCTGGGGGGACCAGACCAAGGGGGGAGAGCGACGGAAAGATGGAGGAAGGATGGAGAGAGGTAGGGAAGAGAAGGGGTTACATTTCACCTAGGACTGCCCCCCTTGCATGCTCCTTGCCCTGCTATACCTGCTCTGCTGTACCCTGCTTGACCATTAATACATGGACCACTTGGGAGGGAAGAGGATGAGCAGCGGCGGCATGGGGGGGGGGGTGGGGTTGGGAAAGTAGTCCAGTTATAGTAAGTCATGATTTGGGAGGGGAGTGGGTGGGGGGATTGTGGGGGTTGGAGTAAGGGAAGGGGAAAAAGAGGAGGACGAGACGGTGCACAAGTCTGTTGCAGCCGCCACGCCAGCATCCTGACTGAACCATCGAGCTAATCTACCAACCCTGCTGCTGATCTATCCGCAAACATCCTCATCATCATCATGCTCCCACCCACGCACCCAGCACCACCTCGCTCTCTCTCACAGGTATTTAAGGCCGGAAAGCACGGTGATCCAGTTTGGAAAGGACCCAAACTTGAGGCTGCTCAGGTCCCTGCAGAGAGGGCGGGTGTGGCCAGAGTGGTTGGAGAATGACCCAAACTTCAGGCAGAGACAGGTGTCATAGGTGTGGTGAAACACCCTGTCATAGGTGAGGTGAAACAGGGTGGTTGGAACAGATTGCAGTGGATTGGATAAACTTGGATTGGGGTTGGATTAGATAGGTAGGGTTGGATTGGATTGGGACAAGGAGGGCTCACAGGGAGGTCAGCTTCTGCAGGAGCGAGAAAGTGAGAGGCGGTAGCTCGCCATACATGTCGTTGTGCGCAAGCGAGCTGCAAGAATGGAGGGTAGGAGGGAGGGAGGAGGGTGGGAGTGGGGAAGAAGGGTGGGAGGGTGGTACGTCCGAGTGAGCAAAGATCTTCTATTTGAAAAAAGAAACAAATGACGAGCGGGCGCACACAGGCAGTGACGACTCAACTTGGCCGACGGAGACACGTCTACTGTTGCCATGAAACGGGTTAGATCCGCAGCAAGCTAACCAGAGAAATCTCCGCCTGATCTATAGATCTAACTAACTACTAGGTAGCTTCTAAGCAGTGATGTCTCAACTTGGCTGACGGAGACACCTCAACTGTAGAGAGGTTTTGTTCGGGAAAAGAGAACCTTGCAGTAAACATGCATAGTGCAGCAGGATCTCACAAATCTTGCAGCGGGATCTCACAGGTATTGCAGGGAAGTGAGGGAGGAGAGCCAGGTGAGATTGGAGAAGGGACCAGTGATGGGAACCAGCTCGCCCAGATCCCTGCCGGGAGGAGGAAGAAGGCAAGGCAAGGCAGCTTGGCAGGGTTGAATATATTCTTGAAAATTCTAAAAACACTTCAATGAAGTATGGCCGGTGGGATTGGAGCAGCATGGCAGGTGGGATTGGAGCAGCATGGCAGGTGGGATTGGAGCAGCATGGCAGGTGGGATTGGAGCAGCATGGCAGGTGGGATTGGAGCAGCATGGCAGGTGGGATTGGAGCAGCATGGCAGGTGGGATTGGAGCAGCATGGCCGGTGGGATTGGAGCAGCATGGCAGGTGAGATTGGAGCAGCATGGCAGGTGGGATGGGAGCAGCATGGCGGCAAAGGCGTGGTGGTAGGGATAGTGGTGGTAGCCAAGCAGGCAGCAGCGGTAGCAGCCACAAAGAGAATAAGATGACTCGAGGAGCCGGGGACTTGTATGGCATGCGTGTGGCGCGAGGGGTGCACGCGATACAGCTTGCATGGAGAAAGGAAGGACTCGGGCAGATTGGTAGGCAGGCAGGCATCCAATGAAGGCAGGATGCAGAGGCGGGAGGAGGCGCAAGGGAAGGGCTTACAGGTAGGTGAGGAGAGAAAGAGCACCGATGGTGGAAGGGAATGTGCCGTTGAGGGACCAGGTGTGCAGATCGCTGAGGAGAAAGGGTGGTGTGCACGCAGGGGGAGAGCGAGCAAAGGGGTGTGGGCACAGGGGTGTGGGCACAGGGGTGTGAGCAAAGGGGTGTGAGCACAGGGGTGTGAGCAAAGGGGTGTGAGCAAAGGGGTGTGTGCAAAGGGGTGTGTGCAAAGGGGTGTGTGCAAAGGGGTGTGTGCAAAGGGGTGTGTGCAAAGGGGTGTGTGCAAAGGGGTGTGTGCAAAGGGGTGTGTGCAAAGGGGTGTGTGCAAAGGGGTGTGTGCAAAGGGGTGTGTGCAAAGGGGTGTGTGCAAAGGGGTGTGTGCAAAGGGGTGTGTGCAAAGGGGTGTGTGTGCAAAGGGGTGTGTGTGCAAAGGGGTGTGTGCAAAGGGGTGTGTGCAAAGGGGTGTGTGCAAAGGGGTGTGTGCAAAGGGGTGTGTGCAAAGGGGTGTGTGCAAAGGGGTGTGTGCAAAGGGGTGTGTGCAAAGGGGTGTGTGTGAGCAAAGGGATGTGAGCAAAGGTAGTGAGAGCACATATATGTGTAGGAAGGGAGGGAGGGAGGGCGGCAGCCTGCAGGTAGGATTCATTTCGTCAAGATGGAGCAGTGAGTGACTGGCCATGCTCTCTTCCTCTCCTCTTTGCAGTGTTTGAATGTGAATGACTCCACACATCTCAAGAATGCCCTCTTCTCCTGTCTATCCTACGTTGTTGCTGAGTGAGAGAACCCGGGCACACACGACACGAGCCAAAGAAGCAGCTGGAGGTGAGGGAGACAGCGGGGAGAGCTGGTCTTGTATTTTAGGAATTCTCAAAATACACCTAGGGGGAGGGGAGCTCAGCTCACTCACAGGTGCGAAAGGGCGGTGAGGTTGCCTATGGCTTCAGGTATGGGGCCGTAGAAATTGGCGTAGCGAAGGTCACTGGAGAAGGATGGGGAGATTTGTGGGGCATGGGGGGCAAGAGGGAGGAAGGGAGTGTGTGAGAGGGAGGGGGTACGCAAGGAGGAATAAGTGGAATGTAGTACGTGCAGGGAAACAGCGATGCATAGGGCGTGTGTGTGTGGTGACCCAGTTCAGACAACATGCCCGGACATACCATCACATGGCATGGCAGGGTATAGAATTGTATGGGAAGCTTGGTTGAGGAGGGGGGAAGGAGTGTGGCAGGCGGGGGGGAGACGGGGGCGCGGAAGAGGTGTGGGGTGTTACAAGAACGGGAATTGAGATGAGATAGAGGGGATGAAGAGGTTGGCGCGTGGAGGGGAGGGATGGAGGAGAGGAGAGTAGGGCTGCTGACAGGACTTGGAGGTTGGTGAGGGGTGGGATGAACTCCAACGTGCTGTTGAGAGCCGCTTGCTTCGATAGGTTGCTGCACACACACGCACACACACACACACACACACACACACACACACACACACACACACACACACACGCATGCACACATGCATGCATGCATGCACGCACACACACACACACGCACGCACGCACGCACGCACACACACACACACACACACGCACACACGCATGCACACACACACACGCACGCACAAACACACACACGCACGCACGCACACACACGCATGCACACACACACACACGCATGCAGGCACGCACACACACACACACACACACACACACACACACGCACACACACACACACACACACATGGAGTGTAGAAGGAATGGGAAGGCACAGACGCCAGAACATAACCCCATCCCTCTTCACATGGCGGATCTAGAAAAACGCCAGCCCAGACCCAGACTACTCCATTCCCGGTTTCTCCATTTCTGGAGCTCCTGCGGCCTCCCGTCCCTTCTAGACATGGGCAAAAAAAATCGCATCGCATTTAATCACGTTTTTGCGATGGCGATTTTTTTTTTTTAAATCATCGCGCGATGCGATGATTTAATATCGCGCGATTTAGTTTAATTCGCATTTTAATCGCGCTAAAAAACGCGATTTAAATGCGATATGCGATTTTTTAAAAATCGCGCGCGAACTGAAACCCACTCTGAAACCCACTACGAAACCACACTAGTTATTTGCACTCTAGCTTACGGCTGCCCGTGATTCAATTTCCCGGCAGCCATGGTTTTTTTCTGGTTTTTTGGGGTGTTTTTTTTATTTTGTTGTAAAACGCGATGCGATTTAAAATCGCATCGCGCGATTTAATTAAATACCGCATGCGGTTTTAATATTCATCGCGCGCAAAACGCAATGTGCGATTTATTTTTCTCCAGAAATTAAATCGCGCGATGCGATTTAAAATCGCATCGCATTTAATTAAATCGCCCCCCAATGCGATGCGATTTAAAGCCGTTGACCCAAATTGCAGAAATTGCCTTTCAAGTTTATTAATCTTGAAACCCCCCGATTGGTAACCCAGTTCCCCAGAGCGAGAGCAAAATCGAAAGTTGCGCAACAAAACGACGGGAAACAGTCTATAATCTTGCGCCACCCCCAGCTGATTATGCCCCTGCCCCCGCCACACCAGGCGTTTGAGGGGAAAGAAACTTGAACTTCCCCCCATACATTTTGGGACTTTTCGGAGTGCAAACCCAGCCCAGCGCCACTACGCCCTAGGCAGCGAAAGCACCATGCACAGCACACGCCAGTTTTATTAGGGCGCGGTACAAATCGTTTCAAGTAGACATGGGCACAAGCCGAGCCACACCTGGCTCGGCTCGGCTCGGCTCGCCTTTAAGGTGAGCCGAGCCTTCTTTTTTGGTACCCGGCTCGAGTCGAGCCGAGCCGGCTCGGCTCGCGAACGTGAAATCAGGCAAGCCGGAGTCGAGCCGGCTCGAGCTGGCTCGATTTTGAGCCAGCCGGCTCGCGGCTAGGGAAAGGGGGGTTTCGCGACTGTCAAAATTTAGATCGACAAACCCCCCCCCCTGCCAATATTGTCTGCCAACCCTAACCTCACCCTGTCGCGCTAGTCTATCGACCTCAGCCAGCCATATTTAAACCGGCAGCTCCTCCTGATAGTTTTGTAAGATGTAGGAGCAGACGATCAGCTAAATAATATGGATTATCCCCTATACTAGAGACCCCAAACCACGTGGCCCCAATTGAGAGCCCGCACAAGCCCCTCTGACGAGCCGAGCCGAGCCAGGGATCCTGAGGACCCGGCTTGAGGCGAGCCGAGCCGAGCCAGGCTCGGCTCATGCCCATGTCTAGTTTCAAGTGAGGTACGCGACTTGAACTCAGCAAAAAAAAAAATCTTATTGAGCCTTCTTGATCGTGTTGAAAACAGTCTAAACGTCTACAACCGCATCAGCTGTTCGAGTTTCAGTTTGAAGACATACTCGTGATATGAGGTGTACCACGCCCTGATATGCGCAAGTCGAGTTGCTTGGCGATTCCAAGCGAGTTGCGCAACCCAGAGTCACGTGCCCTTCCTTCCCGCTGTTTCCAGTGTTCCACGCTGTGCCGTGCGCCGCTCTGACCAGGTATTCTTCCCCCACTCCCCCCTGCGCCTTGCGCGCGCCCCCACTTTCCTTTTCCCCACCCTCGATTTCCCCCAGTCGTTGTTTGCGAACGTTTTGGTTCTGTCATAATTTGTATGCTCGTTCTGATTGGTTTTCGTTGTGTGCTGTGTTCGCCCACTCTCGCCACCCTCACACCACTCCTCCACGCCTGTGTCCTTTCTGCAGCTCAACTTTTTGCCCGGTTCATCTTTATTAATCTTGTACGTTTTTGGTCAACGGCTTTAAATCGCAATCGCATTTTGCCCATGTCTCCCTTCCCGTTCCCCCTTTTTCCCCGAAGTATTCCTCACCCCCCCCACACACTCCCCAACCCTCCCTTCCTCAGAGCACTCTCCCCTGGCTGGCGTACAGCCTTACAGCGTTCGAAGCAGAGAGAGCTGCACTAGCGCGGATGGAATGCTGCCGTTCACCACCTGCATGTAGTGCAGCCTGGGGGGGGGGGGGAGGACAGACAGGGTGGGTGGGTCATGGGCGGAATAAGAGAGCAGGAGAGAATGGGGGGGCTGGTGAATCAGCTCATAGGCGAGGATGCACGAGCGCGGATGGAATGCTGCCGTTCACCACCAGAAAGGGGCCCAGCCTGCGGGGCGAAAGGGTGCGGAGGAAGGGGAAAGAGGACGGGGGGAGGGAGAGGATGGAAGGGGGGGTAGGAAAGGGGGGGATCGAGCAGCAGAGTTGGTGGGAAGATGAGATTCGTTTGAAGGGCTAAGTGATGAAAAGATTGAGGCTTAGAGGGTGTGGAATCAAGGGCAGAATGTGACGGACGGGTGTGGCGGACGGGTATGAAAGGGCGCTGAGCTGTGAATATCTGAGCAAGTATCAACGGAATAAAGGAGAGTGGTGAGAGGGAGGGAGGGAGGGGAGGAGCGCACTGTAAGGCAGTGACGTATCCAGCAGCATTGCATGTGACTCCGGCCCACTGGCGGCACGCCGTGGTGGCATTGGAGTTGCCGGGCCATGTGCCCCCCCATGCCGCGTTCAGCTGCACCAGCGCTGACACTGCCATGCGCACATGATGCATGCATGCATGCAACCATGCACCCATGAACGCATGCACCACCCATGCACCCATGCACGCATGCGCCCATGCACCCATGCACCCATGCACACATGCACGCATGCACCCATGCACCCATGCACCCATGCACCCATGCACGCATGCGCCCATGCACCCATGCACCCATGCACGCATGTGCCCATGCACCCATGCACGCATGCACGCATGCGCCCATGCACCCATGCACGCATGCACCCATGCACCCATGCACCCATGCACGCATGCGCCCATGCACCCATGCACGCATGCACCCATGCACCCATGCACGCATGCACCCATGCACACATCATCCGGGAACGCAAGGTGAGCAGCACATACATCCGATCGTGGTTGACGGGGCAGGGCGATTGATAAAGCATCAAATAGCACGCAGGGAAGAGACGGGGAGCAGGAGTACCAGAAGGGGGCGCGCACCTTGGACCTGGGTCGGAATCTGCATGCCAACCCACCTGCGCCACAAGAGCAAATAGCATCGTAACTAGCTAGCATGTCAATCAGCATCCCCGCAATCAGCATCCCCGCAATCAGCATCCCCGCAATCAGCATCCCCGCACTCAGCATCCCCGCACTCAGCATCCCCGCACTCAGCATCCCCGCACTCACCTTGCGACTCCGCCAGCTTCACGTTTGCGCGCCCCGCATTCGCGCGACCTCCCCCGACTTTCCGCAGCCCTATTCTGGAGCGTCCCCCATCCCCGACATCCCCCCTTCCCCCTGCTCCCCGTATCCCCCACCCTTCCCGCGTTCCCCCCGCCATTCCCCCCACTGAGCTTGGCCTCACGGCGCCACTACCTCCCCCCGCATCTAGGCGCCGTCGCGCCCCTGGCGAGGCGGCGATGACTTGATAGTCGGCGCGGTCATTGCGGTGGCGAGAATCAATGTCGTTTGAGAATGGATCGCTATGCCGAGAGGGCGAGCCAGAGGCGACGAGGAGCGGTGGGGAGAGGAGAAGGAGGACGGAGAGGAGGATGACGGGAAGAAGCGGTGACAGGTGCCGCGACGAGAAAAGACAGCCGTTGGATGGCGACGCGGTGAGAGGTGCCGCAGCGCGGGAGTCTGGCGACGCGAGGCGAGACATTGTCAGAGAATGTAAGGTGTTAAACGGTGTTAGGTGCGTCTGCGCAAGGCGACGCGACGTTGCGCCTGCTAGTAGCCTGACGCAGAGGAGAGAGAGAGAGATAGGTCTGGTTCACGCGAAACCCCGAAACCAGCACGGACGTTGGAATGACCCCGACTGGAAATGGCAGACAAACGTTGGATGAGCGCGGAACCCTTGAGTTGGAGGAGGGTCCCTCCCTCCCCCGAGTCCCACTTTCGGCTCAGACCCTCTCGGCTTGACTCTTCGCCTCACCCAGTTGGTGTTGTTGACTTGGACACGAAAGGTTGTGTTGCGTTCTTCTCGACTTCTTTCTGACTGAACTTTACTGTACAGTTGAGTTGAGTTGAGAGGGGCGGGGGGATTTGGGGAACGACTGCCCAAACAATTTTACGCCACTGCAATTTGACGAACGAACAGTGCTGCTGGGTGCTGCTGTGCTTCCTGGTGGGGGCAAAGGAAAGGAATCCGGGAATTACCACGAACAATCAATTTATGCCAGGCGTGGTGTGCATATGTACTCAGGGTAGGTTTCTAGCAGGTGTCATTTCGATATAGTGTCATCCGAGAAATGTTTGAAACCCATCTCAACCGTTATTTCGAAACATCAACGGTTGCGATGGGTTTCCAAATACTCGGATGACACTATTTTGGGCTGACACCTACTAAAAACAGGCCCTGAGGGACTAAGCGAGTTGAGGGCTGATGCCTCCCGAATTTATATTTTTGGGCAGCCCAGAAAGGACTTGATTGCCTTGAGTACAAGTGAAAACGAGCTGACATAATTTGAGTGTAGGCGATGTTGTCCCAAAAGAATCGGGTTTCAGGGCAAGGAGAGCGAAAAGAGCGGACTACATTCGCAAACGACCTGCCCGAAGGCAGGACCATCACCTTGCGCGGCCTGGCAGGCATCACTCTGCCTGTCGTTGACCCTCATCCCCAGCCCCCCCCACGTCCGTTCTGCCGCAGATCGTGGATGAGCAGAGCAAAAAGTGGCCCGGAATGATAACAACGAAGTCAGAATGCTCATCTGTCGTACGTAATACAAAACGGCTGTTATCCACTCCATCCACTTCATGCAAAACACCTTCAAACCGAGATTCAAACTGTAGAATCGCACAAAACAAACCCCAACTAGACATTGAACTTTCAAAACCTGGATTGAGCAAGAGCATTGAAAACACATCGTGTAAGGAATTTTCTATTCCTTACTGAGCGGTACTGCAATCGCGTACGCTCGAACACATCCGAAGCCTCGGGATAGTTCCGGACCTTTCTGACAGAATCACCTCGGCTTCTCCAGACCTTCTGGTTTGACCTTCAGGAGTTCTCCGGGCCTCGCTTCGTCACTCGAGACCCTTCGATCTCCTTCCCGAACCTTTCCATCTCATGGTTAGACTAGCTCTGGTGTTCCTATATTTTGGCTTGCCATTCCTTGTATCGTCATTCAGTGATTGAACACTTCGTTATTCATTTCCGCGCTACTCTGCTTGTTCATTCATAACACCTGGTATTCTGAGCCACTTTCCTCGCTCACCCGTTTTCGTGAGTTGATTTATTTTTTTTGGGGGGGGGGGAGGGGGGGGGTAAGTCCCTCACGTAAGCTGCAAAGCGGTTGCTCGCGAATTAGACTGATTAATTCGTCCAACTACGATAGCGTTTGCGCTTACCTGAATACAGGCACATTACGGATTTCCCCTTGCCCCGGCGGAGCATTCGCCAAATGGACCAAGTTCAGTTCAACGAGCTTCGGGAGCAGTTCAACGCCATGAACACACGCATGGCTACAGTGCTGGAGGACAACGAGCGGCTTCGTGCAGAAGTTGCCGAGTTACGCCGGGCGCGAGAGGATTCGCGCCAGAAAACTGCCGCCTATGAGGAGGTCGCCAGCACAGGACATGTCGAAACCGTTTTGGACGAAATTGCACGTGAGGTGTCGCAGGAGCGTAAGGACAGCGAAGCCGCCGCAGCAGCTGACGTGGCCGCACGAGCAGCGGACGAAGCAGCAGCGACAGCAGCAACCGCCCGGTCAGAAGCAGCCGCCACTGTAGCCGCACCGGCATTCGTGCCGATAATGACGACATCGACGATCAAACCGACAATTCCGCCCCCGTTCAACCCCACAGATTAGAATACTACTATTACGGGCTGGTTATTTTCGGCGGAGCTTTATTTTAATGCCGTTGGGATCACTGCTGACGATTTAAAAATACGGTTGGCTATATCATTACTGCGGGGGACCTGCGCTAGATTGGTGGCGATATACACTACAGGAGGGGGAGTTTTTGGCAAGCTACACACAGGGGTTTTTCGGAAACTTTGGGTCTGCTGCCCAAGGGTCAACCGCGATTTTCGGATCGACCAAGATTCGCACGTGGAAGGCGTGGGGTACAGCTCTGCGTGAACGGTTCGAGCCAATATCCGCCTCGGACAACGCACGTACGAAGCTAGACAGCTGGCGCCAATGGAGTTCTGTCCAAGATTACGCGTCGGTCTTCATGGCGTTATGCGATCAAATTACCGACATGCATGACTCCGAGAAGAAAGCTCGACTCATTTCGGGTTTGAAGCAGGACATAAAATGCGAGGTCCGACTGCGACTTCCGGCGACGTTTCACGAAGCAGTCTGGATCGCATACACTTTCGACGCACATCAAACGTATGCGAGAGCGGGTTCCCGGGAGGGAAATCGTTTTCGTGGCCAGGATCCACGGCCCACGATTCACGGCGTAGTGGCGAGAGAGCACATGGAAGATTTTCGCAAGGGACAATGTTTCAACTGCCACCAGCCGGGTCACCAATCTCACGATTGCCCCCGAAGGAAGCAGATAAAGAAGAACGATGAAGGCAGGTCGGGAAACGCCAAGCGTCAGTAGCAGTCAAGCCCCCTACTGACCCTACTTCATCGCCCGAAAAACACCATCCCCACCGAGTAGTGGTTCCGATACACGCTATCAACCGCTCCTGGCTGAATAAGGGGGATGACCTAGTGGGCCACCATGTACTGGCGGAGAGACGACTCAATGGAAGAAAAAAAAAATCATTGACGGAGGTTCGAGTCACAGCCTGATAAATCGAGAGATAGCACGAAGACTACACTTATCGCTGGAGCGGTGTCTGCCCGAAATCGACGCGCGACTGGTGGATGGCACCCCGCTAGCGATTCGCGACAGAGTACCCGTCGTGCGAATGAAGTGTAGCGAAGATTTCGGCTTCAGCGCGCCGATGTTGGCGACAACACTCGACGGCTACGATGTACTGTTGGGACGCGATTGGCTGCGAAGATTCAACCCGCAGATCGATTGGACGACAGGCGAGTGCACAGTGAAGTGCGAAAAAGGCTGGCGAAAAAAGCAGAGACAACATCGACATGAGTCAACGCTGTATGCCTCAACCGAGCGGTCAAGAATGGAGCGGATTTATACGCCGTCCATCTAACCGAATCAACGGAGCAGAATGAGGCGACCGACATCAACAAACTCTGCGCTTCGGTCCCGGATGACTTGGCAAAAATCATCCGGGAATATCCTGATTTTTTCCCGGACGACTTGCCAAGTGGACTGCCACCCGAACGGCCCCAGGACCACAAAATCGAGCTGGAGCCCGGCGCGCAGCCTACTGTACGAACCCAATGGCGCCTGACTCAGTTGGAGCTACACAAATTACGAAACCAGCTGGACTACTTGCTTGCAAAAGAGTTTATTCGGCCGAGCACATCCCCGTTCGCAGCACCGATCCTGTTCACACCAAAGAAGGACGGCGGACTTCGCATGCGTACGGATTATCGCGCCCTTAATCGGGTAACGATAAAATTGTGCTACCCAATCCCACGCATGGACGAGCTGATTGACAACCTTCGCGGAGCTCGCTACTTTTCGAAGATCGACCTTCGTGGCGGTTACCATCAAATTCGGGTGTTCGCTGACGACTGCCACAAGACCGCGTTTCGTACTCGCTACGGGAGTTACGAATACACGGTGATGCCGTTTGGATTAACGAACGCCCCCTCGACGTTCCAGCTCACAATGAACGGGGTGTTCTGCGATCTACTCGACAAATGTGTGATAATTTACCTGGACGACATCCTGATCTACAGCACGACTCGGGAGCAACATTTGAAGGACCTGGAAGCTGTTTTTCAGCGGCTGCAGCATCATCGTCTCATCGCCAAGGGCTCGAAGTGCGAGTTTTTAAAACAAGGATTGGAGTTCCTGGGGCACGTGATCCCCACGGAGGGGATTCAAATAGACCCGAAAAAACTCTGGGCTATTCAGGAGTGGAAACCGCCAACAAACCTGCAGCAGCTGCAATCTTTTCTGGGTTTTGTAAACTACGTGCGGCGCTTTATCCCCAACATGGCGGGGTTAACGAGACCTCTAACCGACCTACTACAGAAGGGGACTTTTTACGAGTGGGGGAAGAAGCAGCAAGCTGCGTTCGAAGCATTAAAAATCTTTTAATGTCGCCACCGGTACTTCGCATCGCTGACACGGAACGGCCCTTCGAGGTCATCACCGACGCAAGTGACATCGCCATCAGAGCTGTGCTCATGCAAGATTTTGGCAATGGTCTTCAACCAATCGCGTACCAGTCTCGCAAAATGCTATTTGCCGAGCGCAACTACCCGGTACACGACAAGGAGGTGCTGGCGATTGTCCACGCGTTCAAAATCTGGAGGTGCTATCTGACTGGAGCAGATGCGACGGTGCGAACCGATCATAAATCTCTACAGTACCTGAGGGCGCAGCCGAATCTCAACCCGCGGAAGATACGCTGGCTGGACTATCTGGAATCCAACTTCACGTACAAGATCACGTACAAAAAGGGTGCCAACAATATTGCAGACGCCCTTTCTTGACTGTCTGCCCAACTCGCAGCAGTACTAGTCGCCCAGAACAACCCGCTACAGAGTGGACTATTTACCCACGGGTATTCGATGGACCCCTTCTTCGTAAATGACGGCCATCTCCCAATCACTACACGGAAAGGCGTCTATTACGTACGAAGCGGGACAGATCGAATTTGGGTCCCAAGTTATCGTCTACTTCGCGAACTACTCATTCCAGAAGTCCACGATTCGAATTTATCGGGACATTTCGGGGTTGATAAAACTTTGAAGGCGTTGCAGCGGTTTTATTACTGGCCAGATTTGGTGACGGATGTGCAGCGTTATGTGGCCGCGTGTCCGATCTGCCAGCGAATGAAATCGTCACATCAGCTACCGACAGGACTGTTGCAGCC